TATATATATATATATATATATATATATATATATCATCTTATTTTTTGAATATTTTACATAGTTATTTTACATTGTTTGTAATTGTATTTTTAATTTTATATTATAGTAGAGATGGATAGATAAATATTGGGTAAAAAAATAAGAAAATGTTATAGCTGGAAATATAATTTCATTACCACACACACGCATATATACATATATATATACACACACACACACACAAATACATACAGCAAAATGCAAAAGTTTCACACTCTATAAATAATTTTTTTTACGACTGGAAATTTTTCTTAATTTACCCGTCATTGGCTGGTATGGCAAAAATAACTTTATGGACTCTGGATAAGAGTTAGTGATGAGAGGAGTGATCTGTTTTGTGTGTAAAAGCACACAGGGTGGGGAGACTCGAAGAGAGGCACAGGAAGGTGAATGAGACCATTGTCTGTAAAGGGCTGTGTGACGTATACTCCGCTTGAGAGCTCTGTGTGTGTATGTAAAAGGTTCAGTGCTCAGGGAACCAAAGCTTGGCCCTGACCATGAATCAAGCTCAGCCCAGCGCCAAGGCTGACATACACACACACACACACACACACACACACACACACACACACACACACACGTGGACACTCAGGAGACCCTGAACATCTGTGCCCCACATAACACAGACTGCCAAGCACTAGTGAGGACTACATCTCTTCCACAGAGAGCCGGGGGGAGGAGGAGGAGCGTGATCATACCATCAAAGAAGAAGGCTTCTGAAAGATTTGGAGTAGTTCATGATGAGGATGAAGTTCATTTGCAGTATAGCTGTCTGATTGCAGTCAGTCTTTAAGAGTGTGTGTTTGTGTGTGGATGGATGACACAGGAAGTGCTCTGTGTGTGTGTGTGTGTGTTTGCTGTCCAGACTTCTGAGAGAGACACTGTGATCCCTTCTGAACCCGACAGCCCTCCTGCCCTCTTTCCATTACTAAAGCTAATAACACACACACACACACACACACACACACTCCAACACGCTGCTGCCTGACACACCACACACATGCTGCAGGAAGCTGTTCTTGCTGCACTTCTGAAATATATTGCTACACACATACAGAGAAATGAGTAGAAGAGGCATGAAATGAAAAAAGGTGACTAAATGATACACATGGGTCAGTTGCACAATATTTGACCATTGCAAGCCAATAACTGCCTGAGCATTGTCAATAGATAAATACACATGGCCTATTGTAATTTTTTGCTCGGTAAATTTAGCATAAACATTGTGTAAAGCAACAAAAAAAAAGAGAACAAAACACCTGAATGGTTGTAGTCAGAAGTCAATACAGCATTATATATATATATATATATGTGTGTGTGTGTGTGTGTGTGTAAAGATGGAAATATTATATAAATAAAGAATTTTTATGTTACAAAAGAGTACTGAATGGTTTTTTAATTAAATATTTTAAATAAATATTTTCAATTAAATAATTAGTTAAATTAATAATTTTTTAATTAATTTAAATGCCAAATTGAGTTAATCTTATATGCTATATTATAATGTTATAATGATCATAAATTATAGATTAATATTTCTGACTGTAGTTAGTCAAATATTATTATATAAGGCCACCCTACTGTCTATTGGTATTAACCATTCATTTCGGTCGACCAATTGTTTTCCCACCTGCAGCAATGCAAAAATGTGTTTGCGCAGTAATAGGTACATGCGGAAACTGTGTCTAGATGTGCTGTGTCATTGAGGCCGGTCGATTAGGGACAGACTTGGACGCTCGTTTATAAGGCCAAATGCTCTGCTCTTGGTCAAACATGCGCACACACATTCTTGCCTGACCCAGTATAAGTTTGGCTGGTATCTGGTCATAACAAACGACTCAGCTCAGGCTGTTTATCTGAGGGGAAGTGGAGCAGCGAGGGGGGACAGGTGAGCAAACTGCTCGCTAACACGCTGACTAACACACTCCCGATTTCACACGGGCAGCGAGACGCATACGGCCCCCTCTCGCTTTTCTCTTACTGTTTTCTGACCCATTTCCTTTCCTCCCGCCTTTCTACTTTCCCTTCACAAGCCAGAGCTACGTTTCCAGCGTGCGAGCGACTTTCCATGAATGTGCATGTACATGCGAGTGTGTGATTGATCCGGCTAGAAGCAGCGTGTGAAAAAGAGAGGGAGGGCGGCAAGAGAGACAGAGAGAAAGGGAACAGTAATAATACGGCCCTTTCATAATGATTAAAGCATTCATTAATTTTTCATCATAACCTGCCGTTTGCAGCTAATGGTCTTTGTGAAGTACACAAGCAAACAATGGACAGGCGAGTTGAAAAGCGATTTTTATCAGGCTATGAGAGCCCTGGCTCAATGCACTGCCCACCTCCCCCTCTTCATTTCTCTCTCTTCTCTTTTCTGCTTCTTTTTTTCTGTGTCCGTGCTTCTTGAGGGACCGGGGCTTCTTTTGTTTGCACATTTTATCTGAACAGAAAGTAGAGAGATAATGCGCTACTGTAGTCTCCTGCTAATGGACTCTATTGCTTGCTTGCTGTCTTGTTCTCAAGAGTTCTATAAGTATCTTCTATATGTCGTCTTACATTTTTCCTGGCTTCCTGTATACGACAGCTGTTGAATTTCACAGCCAGACTCTTGCTTTGACCTTGTGGCTTTCTCCAATGTAACTATTTTCTCTGACGTAACTATTAAAATCAAATGTAAATGAAGCAAAATCCTGCTTGGTTTCATAGAATAGGAGGATACTCACACAAATGAGCAGAATCAGTGCCAGAAAAACTCCAACGCCTGTCTTTTACTAAGTCTTACACATCCTTGGCTAGTAGATCAGAGATAAAAGAGCATAAAGTAAAATAAAATTCTTCAGATCAGCAATATCTTCAGGCAACTCTAAATATGTTCATAAACAAGTTAGTTAACAGTTACACAACAAAAATAAGCACATATGGGAGCAAAATCGACAAACTAACAGGCAGTTTGGGACAATATTGCCTTCAATAAAACTGATTCTTCATGTTTAGAGCTTCACAGGGTGAAGCAGTGATCACACTAGATAAAACCGCAAACCTCCTGCTTTGAAGTTTGTGTGTTTTCTCAGCTAAGACATAAACAGTAATGTTTAAATTCTTTCCAGGGCAAAAGTCTTTGTGAAATGTGAATTTGCTTAACTTTAGTATGTGCAGTAAAATGTTGTTTCATGAGCATGAATGGAAGTCAGTGGAGCAAAATCTAGTGTGACCTCACCCTAGGACAAAGCATGGAGTAATGCAACAGTTGTAAAACACCTCCACACACCCATACATACAAAAAACAGAGCACACTAAACCCTGCTGTATATAAATACTACAGTGAATGCTAGCTTTGTTTGTCTGCATTCTTCACATGGTTGACAGCAGGTTCAGCTGTAAGTAACCTTCAGTGTGCACTGCAAGAAAACAATACATACACACATCTATCTATCTATCTATCTATCTATGTATATTCATCCATCCATCCATCATCAGTATGTTCACAAGTGTATTTGCACACACACTGGCTAATTCACATAGGGAGCAGGTTCTGATTATTCATGAGGAACTGGCCTCTAATTACAGAGTGAGTGTGGTGTGATGTAAGAGACAGAGAGAGAGAGATCCTGTGGAAGGAGCTGAGAGCCGTTCTCTCAGTAATCAGTCTGAAATGAATATGCAAAGTGTGGCACACAATGGCTCCGAACAGCTGATCCCTGCCTGCTTAAACAAAGGCCTGACTTTATCAACAGCTCTCGTTAAGCAGAATTTGTTAGTCAGGAATGATGGGATGGGAGATAGATAGATGGAAGAAAGAATGAGTGTGTACGAGTGAGTCAGGGAGAGAAAGAAAGACAGACAGAATGGGAGATGCTCTCCATGAAATCCTTCACACCAGTTTCACATTGTAATTTCATCACAATAAGACACACGTGTGCCAATGTCTTCTGAAAATCTAATACAGTGAACTTTTTCCACCGACAGGGTGCCAGTGCTGGTCTCGGAGCCGATGCCCAATCTGGACCTGTTCCATGTGCCGTTTCCACATAGAAAAACTGGTTCTGGCTGCCCAATGGCTCCTAAAACCTGCTGGTCTCCAACTTTTCAGAACAACAACAACTCAAAGCTAGATAGCTTCCACTATAATCAAAGAAACTCTCTAGACTGGAAAAAAGCCTGATGTGACAATGCTAAACAGCTCGCGCTAAAATAAAATGACTATTCACAAAAAATATAAAGTGACTTTAATTGAATCGAAATATTTAATATCAAGTATTTAATTAAATAGATCGAAAACTAATTTTTACATCATTTTCTAATTAATATTTTTTCCTTGCCATTAAAAGTAGCTTGTGATAGCATAATAAATATATATTAACAAGTCATTCAATGACAGCAAACTTATTTATAAATCAATTGCTATGAATTAAAAAATAAATAAATAATTAAATTAAACATTTTTACACAATTTTCTAATAAATAAATAAATCTTTTTTCCCATGCCATTAAAAGTAGCTTGTGATAGCATAATAAATATATATGAACAATTCTTTCAAAGACATCGACATTATTTATAAATTAATTGCTATGAATGTTAAAATTAAATCTTTCCAAGGCATCAAATGTAGCTTGTGATAAAGATGCTAAATTAAATGACTTTGTATTACTCAAAATTTGCAAACAATGACCACGGCATGACATGTTTATTACTGAACAGGTTATATCATTGTTCGGCTCTCAAGACTTTGAAAACACGCTGCAAATTTGAGTTAAAAGTGACGATGTGTGTCAAAACACATATTCAATTCTCCCCTCACTCACCCTCTGGCTCGTTCTTGATGAGTTCCTCCATCTTGCGCTGTTTGAGCGTGTCGACCACGTCGGCCAGGCTGCCCTTGCGTCTCTCCGGGGTGCCCAGAGCTGAAGCGGAGCTGGGCTCGCTCCCCGGCCGCATGGACCCCTCCTCCTGCTGCTGCTGCTGCTTACTGGGTGAGGTAGAAGAGTTGTGCTGAGGGTAGGGGCTCAGGGCCAGGCCTTTACTGCCATCCTGATCCTGACAGAGAGACGGAGAGAGAGGCAGGGTGTTAAACAAAGCGACAAACAGGCCTTCACTAATTATTTCGTCCTGTTCCTGAGTGTTGAGGCATGTTTAGATTTACTTTCATCCTCATCTACCCATCTGTACTGTAGAAAGTCTCTCTTTCTCTCTTTGCCTCTGTCGGTCTGAAGTCTCTTTAGACAAAATCATTAGTGGCGAAAAGTTTCAGTCGTTTCACCATCACAGGAACTGTCTCTTTCTCTGAGAAGGGAAGTTTTTCTACTTTGAATCAGCTCCAAACACACAAGAACGTCCAAGTTTTTCAACCACATTTTTCTGACAGCTGCGATATCAATCACCATCTTCAGTGTTTCATGCATTGATCTTACGTCCAAATATATAGCAGTTTTCATTTTAAGGTTTTATGTAATGCGGCTTAGAATTAGGCTTGTACACTGTAAAAATGGAAACTGTGCAGTGGTTGCCTTAAGGGGCTATTTCTAACTAATCGAAACCATAAATTTTTTTTTATTTGTATAAACTAATATAGTCATATTAAACAAAAACATTTTGACTTGAATAAAACCAGTTCATTTAGATGTTACTACACAAATAATATTTTTTAGGTTGTCTGAAAGTGAAACTTTAATAAATGCAACAGCACAAAACGCTAATGCTTGGGAGAACTTGCACAATTGGTGGCTGACTAAATACTTTTTTTCCCCACTGTATATACATTTATTATTAATTTATTAATTTAAAATATTGGTGTTTTTTGCTTCTGCAAGTATATGCACACACTGTAAAATGGGTCAATGATGGATATGGAGATTTATGATGATGAATTATCACACACACACACCACATTACTTTCGCCCAGCTCCGGATCTCCTTTATAAAGTTTAATTACAAAACAAGTCAGGTATTTAGAGACAAGGTCAACAGTCTATGTCCTTTAATCAGGGTTAATCTTTGGTTAATCCACATCTATTATCTACCTTACCTCCCGCGTGACTGACCGCGGCCACAGCCAATCAGACAATAGCATAATCCCACTGACGTGTTTGGGATCCAGTGACCAGATTTACACCTCAACAATCAACATCAGCTACTTCGTGCCACCTGCATCCGTCACGCAAAGCAAAATGTCTTCAGTCCAACCTGAAGTTCACAAGATTGATCAAGTTCCCTGTGCAGGTCTATTACCCGCTTAGATTTTAATAATGACATCTGTTTTTAATCATTAACTCAGAGAGTGAACAGAGAGCAGCAGATGGTTCATTTACTAAAGCTTAATGCGGCACGAATTACACAAGACTTTCACAAGACAGAACAGTGGCAAATACAATTTTATTTTTGTCAAATAAAAGTGAGACTGTTAGATGATCTGACTTGGCCCCGCAAACAAAACAATTCATTATATACAACATGGAAAAAGTTTAAATGCTACAAAATACATAATAATAATAATAATAATCATGTATTTATTTTCAGTTCTAGCCATTTATTAATGTGCTTTTGTAACAGTGTTTTACTACTATTTATTTATAATCATTCATTTTTATATGATAAAATTATTAAATGACTAAATGTCTTACCATTTTTAAATGTTTTGACATTCATTTAATCTCAGACAATTATACGCTATTTATTTTTAATAATATCTGCTACTATTTACAAAACAATTAATTCTATACAACATGGAAAGTTTAAATGCAATGGAAACAAGTTTTTAAAATAATGATTATTAGTAGTTTTTATTACAGTACTAGTACTAAAAAAATTATTAATATACTCTTTTATTTTAGTGTTTTTCTACTATTTGATAATTATTACATTTTAATATATATATATATATATATATTTATACAAGTTATTTATGTTAAGTAAAATGATTAAATGACTAAATGTTTTAACATTGAATGTTGCCATTTAATTTATTTTAGTCATTTACATGCCATGTAATAACATTAGTCACTTTCTTTCACACAAAACAGATAAATAAACAAACAAACATCATATTCAGATCTAGTACATACAGTTGTCAACACTCCATATATCCAGTTACACTGAACATATCACACAAATTGACTCGTCACAATCCATCATCATCATCATGATAATAATAATTACTGTAGAACTAATTAAACTGAAACACTTTCACTTGCTACGAGCGCATACTGAGAGACATTTCACGTTGATACTCATTCACAAACAGACTGATGACTGGCATGCTTAAAAGATCTTAACAGGCTTTTATGATACACGGAAAATATGACAGCTTGCATACTGATTTCCCCCCCGTTTCCGTAATCTGCCTGCAAAAAGGCACGTTTTTCCAGACACAGCCCTTCGTTTCATCCCTCTCGTCCCCATCAGCTCCAGTCGGGCCAGTCGAACTGGGATTAGGAGACTTCTAGTCACAAATGACCAAAGTGGTGCGAGATCACCCCGTTATCCACAAACAAAACTGTCAACTAGCTGTTAAAGAACTAACAGAGAAGAAAGATAGAAAGAAGAGGGGAGGACTAGAGAGAGAAAGCCAGGGAGAGAGTGGGAACGAGTGGCAGAATGGCAGGCGTTTCTCTCTGCCTGCTTTAGTGTGGCATGCATCTTAAAACATGGTCACACCTGTCACTTCCAATCTATCTAATCCACTGCATACTTCAAACCGCAGCTCGCGTCTTTCTCCAGAGATGTCTTGAAAACAATTCGAATAGAAGGTGAGATGGCGGCGGAGGAAACTGTATTCCTTCACTTTTTCATGTCCTCGGCCGTGACACTAAGTCTCGGACAGATGAAGAAGCAGATGAGCTAATGGCTTATGTGTTGCTTTCTTTCCCCCATCTTTAAATATAAGGCACAGTGAGTAACAGGTCTACAGTAAGGTTGATATTCAGGTTAAGTACCCCTATATTTTGTCCGTCGATTACGTGTGTGTGTGTGATTTTCCGCCGCGTATGAATAAGTGTGCAAAGCTGAGTATATGTATTTATATGCATTTCTGATGTGCCGTTCTGTGCGGTGTGGGTGGTTCTGCTTTTAGTTGTGCAGATGTCAATTCTTCGTGGAAAGGCTGAAACTGCGCCTCTCTCCACGACCCTCTCTTCATCCCTGAACCACGGCAGCATGGCGACAGAATTAACCAACTTTTGTCCTCTTAAGCTCATGTGTGACAGGAGCACATTTAAACACACTTCAACTCTTGCCAAGAAAGCAAAATGCCTTCTTTCCCCCTCTAATGTTTTCCTCTCATCTTCTCCCTTCAGCACAGATGCCAGCTTTCTTCCAAATGCCACCTTTTTTCTGCCTTTTTTAAAAAATGTTTGTTCTTCCTGTACTCCGCAGAATTCCAACCTGTTTTCCTCAGAGCGTTTCTCTCGTTCCTTCTCTCTCACGCTTCCATATGCTAACTTAAATCCAGTTATTATTCTGACACAGGTAGCGTCTAGCTAATGAGACTAACTCAAAGCACGGCCGTGTGATTCTCTGGCTCGCGTTCACCACGCGCTAGGAAACTAACCTCTACGCTTGCTATCAGTTAAACTGTCAAGAGTCCCGCTGCTGAAGCACACACGCTCGAGTTGGACATCTCTCCTCTCCTGCGGTGCTGACGCCTCGTCTGTTGTTGTCTTAAGCCCGTGTTGCTGATCTCTACCGTGTGTTCGCAATCCGCTCACCTCTAAACCTGGCTCAACCGAGCTATTGTCAGCCCTGATCCTGCCGTGAGCATACACACACACACACACACACACACACACACACACACACACACACACAGATGAAGATTTACAAACACTTCACACACTTTCAAACACCTTGCATTGTCTCATCCCTGAATTTACATGAGGTTATGCCATAGAAAAATACTTTCATTAATTAAGATTTGTGTGACACTACAATTTCAAAGGATTGTCAGATTTGTAGATTATATTTGTTTGGGGGGGAAAAAAACATGAAAAATATAAGAACGCAAATGAATATTTGTGACACCGAAGCAACATGTTCCACATTAAAAAAATGTATAAAATTTGAGTTTAGTTTTACTCACTGCTCTGACCGTTTTGCTGGTTTCTCTCTTTAAATATCTGGGCTTGGATCGACAATAAAACTCAAATAATTAATTTTATTATAATCCAAATTAATATAAAAACCTTTAAAAATTACTGAAAATAAAGTATTAAAGTATTTAAAATATTAAATAAAAATATAATAAGCTAGAAATATATCAACAAATTAAATGAGCTTTTAATGGTGTTTTGGGGAAAATTACATTTATGAAAACGTTTAGATTTTTACAAAAGCAATCTTTTATAAACACTGTACAGGAGTCAGGTTAAAGGATATTCTGTTGTTTTTGACATTAAAAGGCTGCATTTGACGCATCTAAGAACAAATCTTAACGTCAAACACACGTCTTCCCTTAATGCCTCTCCTCATTAACCGGACAAAAGGGAGAGTAATTAACACCTCGCTATTATCACCCGCGTGTAAAGCTCTTCCCACCTTTCGGTTTCAAAGCCCTCGACTTCCCGCCTGTAAAAATCTGCCAGCAGTTTACAGACCGCCAGGGACGCGCACCCACTTCTATTGTAGCAGGTTGTGCGCGCTTCAGCCCCGCTGACCCCATCATCACGAACGCGCCTCTCTCTCTCTCTCTCTCTCTCTCTCTCTCTCTCTCTCAGGATGAAGAGGTCAGCGGAGTCTGAAGCGCGTGTGTGCCGCTGCCGTGTTAATTTACAACGACAAGATAAAGCGGTAATCTTCCGCTGCGCGCTACCCAGGGACTCGCCGAGTCGATTTACACTTCCCTATCACTTTATACAATTGCCGTGACAAAGCCCCTCCGAGTCCCCACTCGTGTAAATCTCTCTCTCACTCAACTCTTCTGCCAGTCAGCGCGGATCGGCTCAGGGAAACTTAATGTCTCACACATGCCAGCCTGCTTTCCCCAAAATCCGCCCGTGCTCGAGACGGATACGCTTTATTAATCCACATCAAATACAGCCCGCGCGTTTTTTCATGCCACGTCTGTCATGTCAGCGCGAGATACAGAGACAGCAGTGTAGTCTTCCAGATAACACAACAATTACAAGCATTGCACTGCTGCTGATACATATTCACGTTATGATTAATAAGAATAATAGGGATGGGCGTATCGATCCAAAATATCGATATATTGATACTGACGCGAGTATCGAAAGTATCGATACTCAAACAAAAAATATCGATACTAAGGTGTGTTTTATTTACCAGTGATTTTGTTCATTTAACAAAAAATAATGCTTACAATATGCATTGAATTGGACGAATAACCTTTGTTAGCGAGTATTGTGTAGGATATAATTATTTTCCTGCTCATCTGAACACGCAAATGTTGCAAGACAGAACCAATCCATCACAGAGCGTTCACGCACTGCTGACAGTGCATTCAAACGGGGCTGCTTTTCCCAAAAGTATCATAAGAAAGCATTCAAGCTTTTGGGAATGGCAGCCCTGAACAATGCTTATCAGAGGACAGGAGGACACAGTTATTTCACAATAAACAAACTGAAATTGTAGCCTACATAGTTTGTGCAATTACAGTTATTTAAATTGAACGTTGAAAGATAATATTGATCATGTTCTATTCTGTAATGTTAATATAAATCATACACTGTCAGAATAAAAAGGTTGCATTTTATGCATGCAACAGCTGGTCACTGGCAGTCCCTTATGATAATGAACCATGGTTTTACTAAAGTGACCATAGCTCAGCTGTAGTATTTATAGATTTGAATCATGTGTAAACAAAAAACATCTGAACCATGTGTAAACAAAAATATAACCTAATAAGTTACAATTAAGGCGTATTGAATGTTAAAATGCGTTTTAAACAAAGTTAAGTGCTTATCATTACCCATTTTACTCTTAATTTAATAAATGAAATAATTAAAAAGTTTAGTTCAGAAGTATCGATATCGACGATACTGCCTTGAAAAATATCGGTATCGTATCGAAAACAAAATAAGTGGTATCGCCCATCCCTAAAGAATAACAATCCATTGTACAATAAACATTAGTTTGGTTTCATGTGCAGCTTTATTATTTGTATTACTGAACTGACATCATCATCTACAACAGCCAAATGCAAATCTCTTTCAAATCTAAACTTTCTGCAAAATGCAAAATTAGTTCATCACCAGGGCAGGACCCTCAAAAGGTAGGCTACATCTTTGTGCATTACCTTCCCATACGCTCTTAAAAATAAAGGTTCTTTATTGGCATCTGGTTCCATAAAGAGCATTTAACATTCATGGAAACTTCCATTGAATAAAAGGTTCTTTATAGTGAAAAACGGTGCTTCAGATTATTAACACATTAAAAATAAATTTTACTGCAAGGTTCTTGGGGGAAACTAAAAGTGTTCTTCAGCATCGCTGAGAAAACCTCCTTTTGGAACCTTTATTTTTAAGAACGTAAATGGAGCATATTAGTACTTTAAGGCACTAATATGCGAGAACCGACAGTCATAAACAAACACACCGCACTGCAAGCTGAGTGTATAAAGTGAAATCGGAGACGCTTGAGTGAGAAAGCTTGCGGACTTTGGTTTATTGTGGGAAACAGTTCCAAAACGGCAGAGTCCAGCATGCACTGTAATCACAGTTAATTGCAGAATTAGCTTACCGTTAAGTTCCTTAAGTACTGATTCATTGTTTTACAGCCAAATTGATTCCTGAAGCCTGTTTATGGAGAGGAAGAGATAGCAGAGTTGGGCGAAAGGTCACTGAAGAGATACTAGAGCTCAGGTGCGTGTTAACGTGAGGATGACGCTTTGGGGTCACAGGGCTTTGAAAGTCTGATACAGTCTATGTCCTTCATGACTACAATGACCCATCATGAACTCACACTCCAAAATGAACAGCCAAGCTTATGAGTCATTTTGGTCACATTCAAATAGACGTCCTGTCTCGCTGCATCTGCCTATGACATCATCGAAGCGTGATGGGCATTTCCACGCCAAAAGTGTAAGTGAGAGAGAGACAATGGGAGGGGCTTATTCTGAGGAGGAGGAGTCAAACAAATGCATATTAAACAAGTGGGAGGGGCTGAACTTGTCTAATCGAATGAGAGAGGCCTGAGCGTAGAGACCTACCATGTTCGCGTGTAGTGTTGGGGGGCTGTCGAGCAGTCGCGGAGATCGCGGGGACACTTTTCTGCAGTACGTACTCAGGGGCAAGTGAATGACAGCATGTCCGTCAACCTCTTCATCCTCCAATCGCTGTCTGCTCGTCGCCATGACTACCTCTCCATCTGTTCCCCCATATGGAGAGGCTGGTCGCTTGGAAGACATCCTGGAAAAATGAGAAAGGAAAAGTGACTGAGGCATTCAGGAAATACATGACAGAGATGTGGCTGTTGTTTAATTGTGAGTGACATATACAGGAGCATTTCACACACACACACACACACACACCTGACACACACTACTCGCATAATGACAGCCATCAACGCCGTAGCTTTGTCCACATCCATCCCTCCATCAAAGAGACGTCCCACCTACACTATCACAGAGCCATTTACTGTAGCATCACCGCACACAATGTGTTTAGCCCACACACACACACACACACACACCTGACACACACTACTCGCATAATGACAGCCATCAACGCCGTAGCTTTGTCCACATCCATCCCTCCATCAAAGAGACGTCCCACCTACACTATCACAGAGCCATTTACTGTAGCATCACCGCACACAATGTGTTTAGCCAGCCTGTTTGATGTAAAGACTCGAGCGGCCCATTAAAGAAAAGTGCAGACGGCCCAGCACACATCAAATATCACGTTAGCCAAGAACACAGACAGACAATGGTGTGTGCGTGAGTGTGTGTGCACCACAGTAGATGTTAATGACAGTGTATATGGTGTTGACAATGCCTGAGAAAATAGGCCTTGATGACGGTCCGTGTTCCTCTGATACCATCAGGAAGAAAAAGCATTTATTAAATGAACACTCTCTCTCACAATGCACGGGAAGGATAAATGAATATGCTCTCGTAATAAGATTTCATCTGGCTTACGGCATTGCCTAAGTGCTTTCATAGACGCTTCTCAGCCTTGAGGCTAGTGTTACTATGGCCCTGGGGAATAAGTACCACTCTTTTAAGAGAAAAAGACAGACAAGGATAAAGGGAGATGGAGAGAAGTACTTTTATTTGCTCCTACTCTGCAACTAAAAGAATTGGCAAACAAATTTTATTTGATTGCAGTGTTGTAGTAACTTTGCTTTCCCCCAGAAGCTGTTTTATAAGCAAAGTTATGGAAGCCCATTCCATATACTATATATAATAATTATTAAAATATATACTAGTTCATACACATTGATTTTGCATAATTTCAACTCACAATTGTGACTATTCCTCATAATTGTAAATGATGAATGATTTATTTTTCATAAATGATTTTATATCTCACAAGTGTAACTTTATTTTTCAGTATTGTGACTTTACAGCATATTTCATAATTGCGACTATTGCAATGGCAACTTTATATTTCACAGTTTGTTTTATTTTTTAAGTCACAATTTGGAGTCTTAGAATTACAATTATGACAATTTTATGGCTCATAACTTTGACTCATTACTTTATCTTTCAATATCTCGCCCACAATTGTGACTTTCCCATAATAATGACTTTCTCACAATTGTAATGTTATTGCTACTTTGTTTCCTGTAATTGCAACTTTTTTCACAATGTGAGTTTAAATCTCATAATGCCACTTCATATCCCGCAACTGCTCAAATGTGATTTTATAACTGACTTTATAGCTCACTGTTACACTTTACAACTTTATTTATTTTTTTACCCTTTATCTCACAATTACTTAATATATTTTATGCTCAGAGGTAGAAAAATTAGTCTAATATACAGCACAAAGTCAGTACAATAGAGAGGTTACTTTTTAACCTCGATTATCTTTCATCAACTAGCATCCGCAGTCTCGGTACAGTCCAGGTTGCGTGTGCTGAACTGTATGGTATTCTCATAGCCCTGGTCTGACTCAGACGCCACATCTGGCGGAGCTCCTGAGCACTACTAAGGTTTCTCTTTCTCTCATTTACTGCTTATTTGGTTTAGATTAGCTGTAAAGACAAACATCATATAACGTTTCTAACCGTCTGGACGGGATGAATAAGACTCACCTCAATCAAACCCAAGGCTGGCGGCTACAGAAACAATGAAGACATGCTTCGACTAACTGTATAGATGAGATGGAGTGAAGAGTTAAATGATAAACTATGATGCAGATGTCATACTGCTAGAGCCTAACAGCAACTGCTCTGTCATAACAAACACTAACGCAGGGTGTAATACAATTGTATTAGTCACTATATCTGCGTTAATTTGGCTGTATGAATGTGAACGTGTGTGTGTGGGGTACCTTGGCTTTATGCTGGTTCACACTGGGGCAGTAAAAGCAGTCAGTGCAGCTGTATAAACTGCACTTGGGCCGTCAGAGCCGCATGACCTGTCTGCCCCTCCACCAGCACTGTTTACACTCTACCTCCAGACACTCACACACACTGGGCCCTTTTGTTTCACTTCGACACACACATACACACACCTCTGTGCCGCTTTCTCTAACACACCAACCCCCAAAACACACATCAGGACCAACAAAGACACACACAACCCTCATAGGCAATCGAGAACCAGTTCTTATTGGAACCAGCAAATTGCTTGTCACATCCAACTCGAACCCGAGAACTGGCATTTAATAACTGTTTAGTTAAGGCTCGTGAAACTTAAATCGGCATAATGAATAGCTGGAAAGCTAGTAGTTAAAGAGGCACATTTAGAACAGATTTGTATTAAATAAAAAAACATTTGTAAAAATTAAAATAGGAAAACAAAAATAATGTTTGTTCAGTATATAATTAAAAAAACTTCCAAAAAAGTGACAAAAAGAATCGTTAATGGAACCGCAATCATTTAGTGAAATTGGACATTCTCAAGGCAATATTTCTCACAAAAATTACTCAGGTGAGTGCATTTGTTTTTATAAATATACCTCCGTCATTCATATCTGTGCGTACCTTTAGACACGTCTGCATCGCTTTTCCGCTCTTCCCTGTCTCACGCACTCTTCCTTTTGCCTCTTTCTTCCCTACTTCCTTGCCGGCCCACTGACAGAAGCTTTTCACAGCTCCTCTTGTGTAATAAAATGTCTATTTTCCAGTGAACCTTTGAAGTATAATTACTATACAATTCCGCTCCCTGGGTGAGCAGGTTATAGCCACTATTTCATTTAAAGTTGACAGACCTGTCGTGGTGGAGAGTCTACATGAAACATTTAAAGCTTGTCGAGATGTTGGGATTAAAAAAGAGAGGGTTTTATTAAGCAGATAAATTGGCAGAAAAGCTGATCTCCAAGGTCATAATTAGCAGCCATTAGCATAATTTCACTCCATCCTTCTGTGGTTCCAATAAAGGCCGGCCTGCCAAACACACAGACCCTGTCCACTGACACACACACACACACTCGCTAACACAACACAGACGCACAAAGAATGGTCTCTGAAGCTAAGACTTCCTTACAGGCTAGTCATGTCTGCTTATTTGCATTGTAAACTTTAACAGTGGTCTTCACTCATTATCTGGTGGATTAATAACTTTATTGGCTTTTATTTTCACAAGGCTAAGAATTATGTTATTCATAAACAGCCTCGAATATCAAAGCCGAATGTGCAGATACGGGTGAGGTGACTAAACACACACTTATGCAGGAACACAAATGATGGCAGTATAATCTCCAAACAGCAGTATTATCCAGTTCGGGGTATATTATTAAAGAAATTGCCATTACTTTTTTGTATATTTCAGAAACTTCAGCATTCACACCCCATCCCATCGTAGTTGAACTGCAGGTCTAGAGGCTAACTTTCACGGCTAATCGTTAAAAGCTAATGGCCACCCCACTGGTGCGCCGCTCTGCCCCCTCCCACAGACTGCGTGCATTAAGCCCAGATTAAAGGCACACTTCCCCTTTGAGCTTAGACGCAGATTGAGCGCTCTCCTAAATCCCTCTCATATCACATGTACATTTCTCCGCAGACGCTAATCGTCCAAAATACAGGGTCTATTAAACAGCGGAGTGGAGCTGCACTTTAAATACTGAATCTAGGAGCTTTACCTAATCACCATCAGCAGTGGTTAACACTCCAGAAGTGCCTCTAATGACAGGACATAATTTAGAGGCTAAACGTGTCACATACGCACACACTCGGATGTGCGGCCCACGGAAAAACTTGCATGATGATGCTTTGCGGATGTTGCCCGCATACCTACGATAAAAAGCATTCAGATACACAGAGCGTGGTTGAAAAAGTCCAGATAGACACATTTTGTTGTTTTTATATAATGCTAATAATATCGCATTATTTTATGCAACACTGTTGCCTTTGAATAAAACTTTATAATAAAATTACAATATATATATATATTATATATACACATTAACAAAATATTTATTTTTATTTTTAACGACATCCCCGGAAATTCCCCAAGTAAGGTTTTGTCAGATTTACAGTAGCTCACTTGTGGGGAATATCTGAAGTAAATCAACACAAACAGTGCCATATATCTAAAGCATATTTAGACATTTCTCACAAAACATTTTTTTCTGATGCATTATGCTCCCTTAAAAAAATATAAAAACATCATTACACTTGGTGAAGGTAAATTCCTGTGTAATATGATTATCTGATTAGGGAGGTCAGCTCTTCTTTGTTATCAGAGTGTGGGAATGAAACGAAGTGTGTCTAAAAGTTCAGACAATCAGCCCGTTCAGCACAGATAACAACAGCGATGCCTTCGGTAGGAAACTGAGAATACCTCACAATCCACTCAGACATTAGGAGAAGTGCTCATCCCTCTCTCTACTCTTTATCTTCTGCTCCCAGGACGATAAAGTCGCAGATAGTCCTGTCAGGATGTCCCTCTTTTGCACAATCAACCATTTGTGCCCGACTCTCTCTGTTTTGAACAGTCTTTTAAGTATATTACTTTACAGCTATTTATAGCTCTCTCAATTTTTCTCTCTGTGGGAATGGAGCGGCCGGCAGAGGAGCGGAAGCGAAGAGAGAGTCAGAGAGAGCGACTCCGCTGAAGTAAATTCATCTGTAGTGCAAACTTGTGAGGGCTCTTCATCGTTCACGCCATAATCACTAATCACAGCGTTCGCTGCTGCTGTGATGGCACTTGGACTTTTATGTGGGGTGGGGGGTTAATTTACCAAAACATAGTATAAAGATCACGTTTCCATGCACCAATGCTAAAAAATAAGAAAAG